AGTTTACTCTCCCATTCATCCCAGGCTTGTTGATGATGGTCACTGGGTGATTCTAGCACCCCTCGTTGACCCTGTCTAAAACTGCTCCTCAACAGGAGAAAATACAAAATAATCATAAAAGTTAGGCTGCCTGCTCCACCAGGAAGGTCAAGAACACAAACAAAGGGAGAAATGCTACTACTTGCACAGAGAAATGTCAACATAGCACCATAATTCATGAATCGTGGTTGGGTTTCAAACAAGCTTCATTGGCCTTCTTCCCACCGTTCATTTGATACTGGACTGCCCAGTTCTTCCACCCAAGCCTCTCTATGATGACTGGTATTTACTGGCACCATAAAAGCAGTGCTAAAGAGCAAGAGATCAAATACTTCGAATGTGGCTGTGAGAGAAGTTGTCATGGTATCTGCTTGCCCATCTTTTCCATCTGTTTCCCCCCTTCCATGGCTCTCTCTCTCTCTGCCTCCTCTATCTCTCATTAATTTCCTGTGTTCCCTAGAGGTGTCACTACCTGCAGGTTTCCCCTGGTTCCCTGGCTGGCACATCTGATTGTAACTCACTGTTCACTCACTTGGACTATTTAAGGATGAACTATTTTACTCGCTCTCCATCAGATCTTTTGTCAATTGGAGTATCGTTCAGGCTCTCTAGTGTAGCTAGCTTTGCTTTCCATGTGACTTACCCTTTATCTCGATGTGCTTCTTGTGAATCAGAGAACATGTCCAGTCTGGTTTACATATCTAACTGCTCTACAACAGTGTCATTCAAAGATATTCCCTTTGCCTGTGAAACATCCACAGCACATTCTCTGTGTCTCCTGCTTTAGAGGTCGCCAGGGCTATAAAACCTCTCCAGAAGTAAATGGTGACAGGTAGGATATACTGACTTGAAGGAAGTAAAGAAAATGGGGCAAAGGAAAGTGGTATCTAATGTTGGACTGATGGAAAGAGGTAAACTTATTATCAATGTACCGATATCCAATACAGGAAAATATTTATCTCCAGTTCAGAAACAATTATTGCTGGTATGAATATGTCAAGTATATTATAGGGTGTTATCCTGGCACTTCAGTACACCCTTCACATAGCTTTTTTTCAGTAGTAAAAGGCCTTTACTGACCAAGTCAAGGCCTGTGCACACTGTCAAACATCACCTTGGAGTAAGTGAAACCCTTATAAAGGAGTAAGCTCCACTGCTTTACTTCCTCCAGTCAACTGGCCCACTTTACTTAAAAATGCTCTCAGTGCATCTTGTGTTTGCTTCTCATGTCTGGCCATTGTTCCCTGTGTGTCTTCTCCTTCCCATCTTTAAAGTCTCTCCAAAGAAACAGTTCTCACAACTGGATGTCTTTGGACCCACAACATCCTCCAGTGTTAATGCTATTGGCTCCTTCAAGTTATGCCAGTTTTCGTCAGTGGTCACAAATATCTATTAGCTCTCAAACTTATTACCTCCACTGAAGTAGTCATGTGATTGGTTCACTTTGTCTGCTTGCTTGTTTCTTGGTTTGTTAGTTACAAAGGATTGCTGAAAAAAGTTATGGACCGATTTGTAATAAAAATTTTACCTGAGTTTCAATTAATCAGAAAGATTAACTTTTGGAATCGACCCAGATATGTGAACATATCATATTTGTGAACAGACATGTTCACAAATATGTACAGAAAAGATTTTTTTTAAAGGTTTGGCAGCAAGAACTCCAATCAAGCTTTTACATGACTGCGAAGGAATATTGACCCACTCTTCTCCTTTTGAGCATGAACAGTCCCGTTTAAGGTCCAGACGATGCATCTCACCCTGATTTAAGTAAAGAATTTGACTAAGACACTCCAAAATATTCATTTTTTTAAGGCATTCACATGTGGGCTTGCATAGCCAAACTGCACTTGAGCTTCAGGGGATGAATTGATAGACATTCTCTTTCAAGATTTTCTGGTAGAAAGCAAAATTCAACAAGTCCAGTCGTGAAATTTCCTCATTACTAAATATTCTACAGTCAGCTGTTAGTGGTATTATAACAAAGTGGGACAAGAGGGAATGTCTCTGCACTCTAGAGCAGTGGAGATGTGGTCTCTGGAGTGACGAATCACACGTCTCCATCTGGCAGTTGACCACCCCAGAGCCTGGACTTCAACAATATTGAAGCAGCGTGGGATCATGTTGACAGATAACAGAACAAAAGGCAGCCAACATTCAAAGAAGAGCTTTGAATGTCTTTCAAGAAGCCCGGAGAACTAATCCTAAAGACTACTTAAAGAAATTATAAGAAGGTCTGCCTAAGAGAATTCAGACCGTGTTGAAGAATAAAGCTGAAAATATTGATTTTCAAGCTCAAACCCTGTTTTTGCCTCACATGTTCGCATGTTTTAATTAACTGCTACACCTATTACCAATGCCCTAGCAAAACATAAAGAGATGACGAGCAGCTCAAGACTTTTGCACCACACTGTACTTGTTTTTCATATGATACATACTATATTTTTGATTTCTATTTGATATTGTTAATATTAAGAGTTCTAATTGTTCTTTTTGTTAACTAAGCATTAACTACGCATCAAATCGAAACAACAGTCACCTTGAGGTGACTGTTGTTTTCATTTAGCGCTATATAAATACAATTGAATTGAACTGAATTTAAATTATGCATGCAGGATTTTTATTTGTAAAGGAATATTTTAACTTTGTGGTATCAAAACTTAATTTTATTTTCTGAATACTTGTTTCACTGCTTAATCAAAGAGAATTTGCCAAAAGGAGCAAAGCACTTGTGGGAAAGCTGAAGAGCCAACACTGGCAGCAAAGGAGGAAAGTATCAGTCTCCACTCAGAGAGAGGTATCAAAGATCCTGAGGTGCCCCCTGCTGTGACTTTGAAATAGTGAGATGCTCATAAATAGTCCTTGATGAGAAGAAATGATGGAAATGAATACGAGTAATTTAGTTACTAGATACTTGGAGGCAACATAATACTAGGACAAGTTAGGAGGGAAGTAGAAGAAAACATAGATATAAAGTGATACATGAAATAGAAAACATTAACAGCTGAAAAATCAAAGTCATATATTTCGTTTCCTAAACATAGACAATTTAGTTTATCCAAAAAGTTAAAAGTAAATAAAAAGTTTTTTCATTTTTGTTGTGTTTGCTCAGCATGTTTCACAGTAAGAAGAACAGGAACCTTTTAACATTAACCTCATCAAAATCAACTCCTGCATATATGGTGACAAATGGTTGAGTTTAACTTTATTATCACAATAGAATACATATCCATCAATTAATCTGAAATTGAGAAAACCAGTCCTGTTAAAGATACCACATCACTAAAGTTTATTGCACCAGGTCTGCTACCTGTTGCAGAAACTGCAAAAGGACATCATCAAAATAGAGCCAAATGCAAAAAGTGCTGTGCATCCTGAGCACAAACACACTGTGAGGAATAACAGCTACACCATTAAAGTTCACCAACCTACCTGAGTGAGTGAGCTTATACAGACACTCACATGTAGAAAGAAAATTTACCCCCAAGTGAAATATTACTTCTACAAATCCTTACTAAAGATTGATTTCTCTACATAGAACAAGAACTTATGTTCCTCACAACTTTCTACACGCCTGTGTACCATTTGGATTCAACTGTGCACTGGAAACTTTTCTAGCACATAATTATGGGCACATATTCTGATGTGAGAGTGATGTTTAGAGTGTTTATAAATAATGTGAGCTCAAGGTTCACTTTATCAAGAATGAGCAGAAATGTGTCAGGCAGCCAGGAGAACCCTGAGAACAACTCTGAATGACTGTGTAAAGATGCTCTGCTACCTAGTTTTGAAGTTAATTTTCTTACTGGACATATTTCTGTTTCTATGTCAGCTCATCTATCCAGATGAGGCTAAAGCAACTCTCTCCAGATTCAGATAAGAAAGACTACACTGAGACTATAGAAACGTCATCTTAAAGGGCATTGTGGGTCATTTAGTGGGCAAAACCTGAGGCCTGCTTTAAAAAAATATATTTTACATGACATGCTTACTGACCAGTGTGAAGCTGAATCCCACTAAGGTTGCTTCTACCCACTTGCAAGGAAGCTTTTGTCACATATGGTCACGTGAAAATAAAGTTTTCACCAGACTTTATGTAGCCCTGTGAAAAAGTGAGTGTGTCTTTACTGCTTGCACAGGAAATAAGATGCTAATTACTTAATTACAAACTGCACATCTGGAAAGGCACAGAGCTGAAAGGTCTATACATTATTTAGAGCAACTTATGCTCCCCTCAACGATCTTTTTTGAAGTAGGCCTTGCATATTTCTTTAAGACAATGCTAAACCGCACGCTGCAGTGTGTACACTACAGTATAGCTTCACAGTAGAAGAGTCCCAAATTTCCCTCTAAAAATAAACAAAATATCTATAAGTCTTCATTATTAAGAAGACAACATGGTGCTTAGGCATTTAGCTGAACTTCTTCTGATGGAACAAAATGTACACAGCACAGCACACAGAAAACGGCATCAAATGAGGCTTTAGAAATTCTTGGCCTCCTGGCAAAGACTCTCTTGGGGGCTTCAGTATTAAGTATTGGAAATTCCCTGCATGATCCTTGTTTTATTACACAAAACTGTAATAATGTATAACAATATACATAAATGCAAGAAGACTGAGAGGAGGCTAATCCCTGTTTTTAACTTGGTTAAACTATCACTATTACTGTAGTTGTTAGTCATTTATAGGTGGTTTGAGACAGTGAACCCTGCTTTCTAAGCCTTCAATACCATGCTCAAAAGGAGATTAGTCACACGTGCTTCTCTCTCCTGTTTGTCGGCTATATGCTGGGAAATTACTTTTGGGTATAAATCTAGAGGTCCCCCTTGTGGCCGTGCAGGTCATCAATTAGATAAGCATTAGGTAACCCAATACAAATCTACATCAGACAGTCCCCAGCCAGTCAATCCAGACACTCAAGAGTCTTTGCCAGTACTACCATTAGACCACTTGCTCAGCAGTATGGCAGACTCTCTGTGCAGGCTGTTTCATCTCCCCACAAAGAGCACTTCAAAAACTGTTGAAGAGCGTGGCAAGTGGGGCAGCAAAAAGGAGTTCATCCTGTCTGTGGCCGGTGCTATTATTGGACTAGGCAATGTGTGGAGATTTCCATATCTTTGCTACAAGAATGGTGGAGGTAAGTATTTCTATTCATTATTCTTAATTAATAAAAGTGTAGTATTATGGTTGATCATAGTGGGGGGGTTTTCTTAAGGAATTAAGAAGATATGTTTTTATTATTCACCAAAGCACAATTATGGGCTTTAATTAGATATTTATTTTCACTGCCAAATACGTTCATTCAAAGTTTTGTTAAAAGCTGCAAATGATTAAAACTGTCCAATGTGAAGTGTATCTGCTATCCATCTGTGTCTCTGTCTGCCTGTTGATTAAGGATTTGACAGGTTATGAAAGGCTATAAAAATAACATTCAGTCTGTGTCCATGCCAAAAATCACAATCAGATTCTTTGCTGAAGCCCTTTAAGTCCAGCATTGCTCCACTTGAATGAAAAATATCTAGCTGTGATGGTGCTAAACTGGAAACAAACTGGACATCGTAAACATTTCACGTGGCAGATTTTGATGATAACGTTCCAAAAATGAACGAATGAAATCAAACAAACAAAAGACAGATGAAATATTATTGACTTACCTCTTAGGGATGGAAATGTTCATTTGAAGGTTGGTGATTTGCCCCTTCTTTGACCTTAAATGAGGACAGATATGTCAGAGGCATTTCAAACAAATAAACTTCAGGCCTAACGACTATTTTCAGCCATAGCAAAATGATGATATTATTTAAATGTTCTAGCTTTTATCCTTGAGAAATTGACAATCTGCTCATAGACATTATCAGCCGTTGTTCCAATTTGATTAAGTGTCCCCATAACAAGTGATAAATTCAGGGTTCTTATTTCCCATCCTTTTTTTTTTCTTACTGAGAAAAGCCCTATGTCACAGAAGAATCACACATAGTCGTTCAAGGTAACACTTATTTGACAATGGAAGAAAGTGAACTGCACCAGAAAGAATCATCCTGCATCCTGCTTGGCAACAGCAATAAAAAATACTTGTGGCTTTATTAGCTTACCTCATAAAAAATAGCTGAACAATTGAATTATGTAAATATGAATGTGTCTAAACTATCAGCTAACAGAGATATCTCAAAGGTGTCTTTCTTTTTCTAAATCATCCTATTTTAGACCACACACTATTACATACAGCATCATCCTGAAACCTGACCTGGTTTCTACTGTTGTACTTATAAACATCTCCCTGCAGTTATAAAAAATCGGAATCTCAGAAATAATAATGTAAAGACTGATGCTGCAGCAGATTCTGTAACCGTGTATAATTTTTTACATTCTGCTGGCTTCAGTCGTTTGTCAGTGTTCCTAATCCACATGAATAGTTCCTTTATCTTGATGTGTCATGGACAGGACACTGTAAGTGGCTGGGTATAGCTTTTGATAGTTAAGTTAAGCACCCCTACTGATTTAGTCATATTGTTTACTGTAACATTGTTCAATGTAAGAAGATTGGAAATTTAAATACTTTGCATAAAATCAACACAAAATGACGTCAGATTGTGCAGAACAAAACTTGTAATTTATAGTCATCTCATAAAAAGTGCATCGCAAAAAGATATCTCAAGATAGATCCTCTAGGTGTTTTAATGAACTAGATGCAAATTTCTTTTTTTTAAAAAGATTGTTTTTGGGGCCTTTTGGACTTTATTAAATAAAACAATTAAGACAGATAACAAAATGAGGAGAGAGAAAGGTAAGACATGAAGCAAAGGGCAGCAGGTCCGGCTTAAAGCTGGGCCGCTGCACCACCGTATATTACACCGTAGGCTTTGAACCTTTCCTAAAGTACATAGACTATAAAATATATTTATATTCAGACAAATTGCTTTCAACTGTGTCCTCTGTGTGAAAATTCAGTTCGAGATAGTTACAGTAATATTCACTTGTGTGTAACTGTGTGGTGTGGAATTGCCACAGGTTTTGGGGATGATCACACAGGAATTAACGATAATAAAGAAGTGGTTTGATATAAATAAATTATCATTGAATCTAGATAAAACCAAATTTATGTTGTTTGGAAACCAAAAGAAAAACATCGAAGTAGAAATATGTGTTGACAATGTATATTTAGAAAGAGTAAATGAAATAAAAATTTCTTGGGGTGATCATTGACCACAAGCTCTGTTGGAAGCCACACATTACTTATGTTCGGGGGAAATTGGCACGGGGCATTGCCGTCCTGGGGAAAGCAAAGCATATGTTGGATCAGAAAGCAATGCACATTTTATACTGTGCTTTACTACTGCCATATATGAGCTACTGTGTAGAGGTCTGGGGAAACACATACAAAAGTAACACACAAACAATAACTATAATACAGAAAAGGGCCATTAGATTAATAAATAATGTGGGGTACAGGGACCATACATGCACTCTTTCTCAAAATGCAAGCTATTAAATTCCAAGACCGCAAATAATGTATAAAGTAAGAAATAAATTGCTTCCCAAAGAAATCTGTAAATTGTTCATAGAAAGAGAAGGTGGGTATGGAAATGGAATTTAAAAATACAAAGTGCTAGAACAACTTTAAGAACTATGTCGATCTCAATTGCAGGAGTTAAATTATGGAACAGTCTAACAGAAGAAATAAAAGACAGTAAAAACATAAAACAGTTTAAAGTAAAATATAAAAACCTAATTTTAAATAAGTATAAGAATGAAGAAAACGGGGTTAACCCAGGACAGTAATGTTGCTGGTAATGGTGTTGCGATTCTTTTTTGTATTCTGTATTTTTCATATGAAAGAAACTATACTGTGGTGGGGCTTGCTAATTTCTTGGTGTTGATTTACGTATGTTTTGTTTTGTTTTGCTTTACTTCATATGTTTCATATGTTGTTTGTTTAATTTAAGACAAAAAAAATTAAATGAATGAGAGGTAAAACTTGAGGGGTAGGGACAAATAAGTAAATACTTCAGCCTACTCCTTTTCAAACAAATAATGGAATGATATTTTGTAATGATTGTGAAGGCACATGCTTGAAATGTTTGAAATAAAAATGAACTGAACTGAACTGAACTGAACTGAACTGAACTGTGTGTCACTGCGGATATAAGTGAGACATCCATTCTAGCCAATCAGAAAAGTCTACTTCCATTAACAAAAAACAAACCATTTGTGGTGTACCCCAAGGTTCCCTCATGGGCCCAGTTCTTTTCAGTCCATTCATAATACCTTTATAGTCTACTAACTACAGATATGACATGTTTCTGTAGCTGCATTTTTCTCTCATGATTCAAAAGTATATCCTAGCATTGCCCAAGTAAGTACTTATTGTCTTGAAAGATGAACATGAATATTTTTGCTATATAGTATACCAGTCATGTGCTAATGTAGTTTGTTGTCACCTGCAGGTGCATTCTTCATCCCTTACGTCCTATTCCTTCTCACTTGTGGCATACCTCTATTTGTGCTGGAGACGGCACTGGGCCAGTACACTAGTCAGGGAGGAATCATGTGCTGGAGGAAGGTCTGCCCCTTGTTTGAAGGTGAGCTAACCACTGGAATTGTGGTGAAGCAGATCAATGAAGAAGAAGTAAGAGAATGCAATGCTAACAGTTGTTGTTTCCAGGCATGGGATATGCAAGCCAAATGATCATTTTCTACGGAGGCATCAGCTATATTGTGATTTTAGCCTGGGCTTTTCTCTACTTATTCTCTTCCTTCTCTGGAGAGTTGCCATGGGCCACCTGTAATAACACATGGAATACAAGTAAATACATATGTTGCTATTATACTTTTATCTGCCTCTGCATACACCAAAAAATCAGTGGCCTTAAAAATAGTATGGATAATGTTAATGTCACTTCATTGTGTTTCTAAATGTGACATCTCGCTTAAGCAATTTAACTGACATAAATAAAATTCAAGCCTTTGAAGATTTGTCATCTTTAACTGTGTTTTAATCTATTTCAGATCGTTGTGTGGTAATAAACAACTACAATGCCACCCTCAACTGGACTTTACCTGTAAATTCATCATCTTCTGTTGTAGAATTTTGGCAGTGAGTTATCATGAGTTTTTTTAATAAAACTTAATTTGAAAGCTCAGCTATAGGTATACTATACTAAGGATAAAAGCTCTGCATGTCGATGCCACAGCCACATCAGCTCTTTGTTTTTCCACACTGCTTTCGTGTGTTTCTTTGCATGTGCTATGATAAATTTGCCAGTTTTATCATGTAGTTTGTAAGGGTGCAACGATACTCGTATCGATATTGAACCGTTCAATACAGTGCTTTCGGTTCGGTATGCATATGTATCGAACAATACAACATTTTTATTTTTTTTATCAACTTTTCTTCTGACGATGCTGTCTGTGTTGAGCGCTCAGTGGATCTGCGTTCGACTACTCCGCCTAGGCTGCACTGTC